TTACTAGAAGGCTCCGTTTAGTATCCGCGTATATATACAAACTAAAAAGTGCATGCTGTGTAAAATTACGACAGTCTATTTTCAGAGCTCTAGGGGAGTCAATCTTACGGTATGGAATAACGATATACGGGAATTGTTCAGGATACAAAAGAGAGGGAATTGATAGGGTCATAAAGCATATTGCGAATAACGTTTCATATGGTTCAGCCCATGATGGCTTAGAACTGGAAGAAAAAATGAAGGCACTTGGCATACTCTCATTCGATCAATTTCATAAATATGTAGCAATAACAAGTAATTATTATAAAAATGATTTCAAATACGAGGTTAAGAAAAGAAATCTAAGGCGTACAGAGAGATTTATGTTGCCGAAAGTTCTAACAAATTATGGTAAAAAAGAAAGGAAATATTACATCCCTGCATTATTTAACGCGTTGCCTGAAACTTTAAGTAATTTAACATCCATTCGCGCGGTGAAACTAAAAGTCAAAAAATGGTGTCAAACGCTCGCTGGTAATACCTGTGGATAAAAGGTTGATATCGTTTGCATAGTGCACAGTTCTTCCTTATGTGTAATGATGTATGCAGTGTTTTGTTGGCTGCCTGGACCCACACACAAGCATTTCTGCTTTCGTGGGCCAGTACGCTATCTTGTGTAAAATATTTCTTTTCAGTAAATAAAGTATTATTATTATTAAGTCCTGGGCTTACTACTGGTCAGAGCCGCTAAAAGCCTTTTTTAGTCGAAATACAAAATATAAGTGGCGCGAATTATTTGATTTACTTATAAAAGTAGTTTTTGTTCAGTATTTTAGATCAGAAAAGAAACAAGAGCAGTTTATAAAGTACGGAAACAAGAAATCACCCGACGACATACCCGCCACCAAGCGGTGGAAAACGAGGCACATACCAGAAAGGAGTAGCGGGATCAGGCGCCGACACGGAAAAGTCCTGGATGTACACGGCTGCGCTGCTGTTGTATGGACTGGAGGATCCGACCGGCTCTAAGCGCTCCGGATGCCTTCGGCGAGCAGCTTTGTCTTGCGGTTTGGCCGTTTCGTGGTTTGGCAGCGCGAAGTGGCTCCCATTCTGAACTGATCTTCACCCCGTGTTTGCTGTCGTTTCTGGCCAATGAAGTGTCATGACGAATTATTTTTTAATCGCGCAGCAAATGTAAGGAAAGCTACTCTGGCTGCCCACTGCTGCATACAGCCTATCCAGAACATGCTTTAGTGGCGCCCTCTCGCGCCGTCGACACGGAGTGCGGCAGCCGTGAGCGCTCGCTGAGCTCACTCAGCCCATCCTCTAGTTCACGGCCACTGAAGCAACCAAGGACGTCATGAAGGCGGTTATTTTTTGCTTGTTTTTATATTTAATTTGCCTATATCTTTTCAAATAAAGCGAAATTCGACAAAAAAAAAGGTTCATTAAGTTACTACGTTCAGTGCGCTCAGGTTGGGTGCAAATTAAAAAGCAGTAAAAACGTCCTTGCAGGGCCCCTTAAACAAGCTGTCCGAAACGATAACAATCCCACGTGGGCCATCCCTGGCACAATAGGCCATTGGGAGCAAGACGATGATTAGCGGCCACGATTTTATGCAGATGCAAGGGAAGATTTACAGCGTCAATAAGCCGCACACTTACACTGCATCTTGGGCTAACAGATTTTGTTGGTGCACTGCTGCCTTACTCTGGTTGATCGTCCTTCACTACCTTAGCACTGACTTGTCTTTGTGCTTGCCTCCCCAGGAAAGCAAAGCCCCCAAACCATTTTTTGGTTTATTTTCTTTAGGGTAACTCGTCCTAGACCTGTAGCACAGGTGTCCTGATGGCACCTGACACCAGCCACCCTCAAACTTGAAGAAATAATAGAGGTTCGTTGCAACTTCGATCCAGACAGCTTATGATGCCACAAGCATTGCATGTGGGATTTTTAGCGCTCTAGTCAGCGCTCCCCTGTACAAACTCAGACCGCCGTTCCTTAGCACACCGATACTTTACCGAGTTCTCAAAACACCATATTAAACACAACTAAAAACCGGTTTTTCGTGTAAGGCCCATTAAAATAATGGGCCTTAAAGAAATTTAGTTCTCGGCCCAAGAGGCAGCCTGAGAGTGCCCCGGATCCCAGAATAACACCGTAATCTTCCTCCCTAGAAAGTATGTCTCATAGGCTACCATCATCATGGCAACAAGGAGTTTGCCAAATGTATGCACACAGGAGCCAAGCGTCCAAAGCCTCTAACCATTAAAGGCACTGTTATACGCCAACAAAACAGATGGGGGAGCGCATGCGGCATGGCGACGTTGCGTTGGTGAAAGCCAGCCACTCCAGAGTCCAAAGCCTTGACGCAGCCGACACGACTGGCAGCATTCGGCGTTCTTGGGCGACGCCGGCACGGAATGAGAGTGGAGCCATCTCGCGTCGGCCACGCCAAAACCACAGGATCAACCTCCCAGCATACATTGTGTGCGCGCTCGCCAAAGGTCAGACACGGGCGCTTCGTAGGAACAAAAAATGTGCACGCTCGAGGTAGCATGCGCATGCGCCTGGTAGCAACGCGCCATAGGAAAAGGATGAGCGTAGACAGAAGAGGTTTCTGGCGTGGACGGTGCAACCAGCATGATGGAACAGACTTCAGACAGTGCTCGCGTGTGCGCGCCATACGTCAAAATATAACAGCGCCTTAACACCCTTTGTTCGACCACCGTTTGAGAAAAACGAAGTGGTGATTATAGCCGACGGCGGTTGCCTCGGATGGAAGCAATCAAATCGACTGCCAGCGTTCTCTCTCAGTTTTCACTTCATACAGTAGCCTAGCTCCGGACCTTTGGCGGTTTTGACGAGGCTAGACCGAAGCTCAAGGCTGTGATTATATTATACTCCCCGAGTAGAGCGTAGCAAAGCAGGGGGCAACCGAGCGTAGCGCAGCCTGTCAGAGAGCCATGCTTATAAACCGACACGCTGTTTAAATACAAGCCCGCATTTGCCCAGACCAGGTGTGGGCACTGTGCGAGCGCAGAAACCAGATTCAAGTGAGCTGAAGCTTCTGTGCATGTGCTGTGGCGACAACAGCACTGCGCAGAGGCATGACATCAGAGCCACATGTTGGTCTATAGAATTAACCATGGCCACCAGATTCTCCAAGCAAGGCAAACCAGCAACCAAAGTTGACAAGCGGTGATTTCAGCAAAGAACAGCAGAGAAAATAGTGCCAGCATGCGTCCATTCAAGTAGCGATCCATTGCCATGGTGACGGTTACTATAGCAGAAGGACACGGCAGTGTTCGGAGATTGGGTGCATGGTTAGGTCCTTTTGCAATGCATTTTGAAAGGGCTAAAAGTTAACAAAAAGAGGTCAAAAAGGATCTACAGCCAGGGGCTGGTGTTCTACGGCACCTGATAATCTTGTGCACCTCACACAAGAAGCATACATTTTCATGCTCCGATGGTTCGTTTTTTTGTTTTTTTTCACTTGTAACATGAGCGTAAAGTATCAATTGGTTGTCCCCTGTACATCAGATGTCTGCTGCATGCTTGATTGTTTACCGCAACACCACAGAGACTTGAGGAACTCGTGGCACCAGGGGAAAGCTTCTGTCAGGTTTTAATTCCCGCCCTTCTCCGATTAACATAGATTAAACATAGCCACCCAGGCAGCACAAAAATATTGGACCAATAACGGACAAATATCGGTCAAAGTTTTAGGAAATAACGGTCCAATAATGATTTGCACCCCGGCTCCAGATCGGTCCAATAACTTGAACCGATCACGGGGAAAGTTTTGAGACCGATATCGCCAACCGTTTTGTGACCGATGTCGTCAACCGTTTTTCGGCCGTCTTTCGAAACCGTTTTACAGCCGACTTTCAAAATGTTTTGTGGCCGTTATCGTTGAACCATTTTGGGATTTAAATGTCTTCTTGAAATACGTAAGAATGCGAATGACGTACTACGACATCAAATGTGAAACTCTATTTTCAATGAAAACGGATGCTTCATTTTAGTGGGAATCGGAGATGTCTGACCATCTTCGACTTGAACAAGGGGTATAGGAGCACTGCAAAAAAATTTCACTCAATTTTATGGGTAAAAGTTGCGGGTTCCATAGTGCCAGCATGGTTTCCCGTAATCTAGAAACCGAACAGTCTGTAAAAAACAAGGCATATAATTTTGTAAAATGACGGAACGTCTATATTCCACTTAACAGACAGTTATCCGTTTTCCCATTTTATTGGTAAAAGTTGGTGGTTTTATATTGCCGGCAAGATTTCCCGTAATCTAGAAACTGGACAGTCTGTAAAAACAAGGCACATAATTTCGTAAAATGACGGAATGTCTGTAGCTCACTACGAAGGGCTATCCGTAGGAATTATGAAAGCTGTCGGCACTAAATAATGAAGCACTATACCTTTCGGCCTTAGATAAGGCCGAAGTTACGAGCCATCCGTACCACCCGCACCTCCGATACATCAGGCGACTCCCCTGGAAGGGCTATACCTTTGCCAGGGGTGTCACCTGACGTATCGGAGGTGCAGGATTGTTGCGGATGGCTCGTAGCTACGGGCTTCAAGAAGACAGAAAGGTCTAGTGCTCCGTTATTTAGTGCAAACAACTTCCATGTTCAAGCAAGCCGAAGTCACATGAAACTTTTGAGGTATGGATTGGTATGGAGAGTTCACAGGCTCTGTCATTCAATATAGTAACTTGTATAATTTTTTATCCTTACCTAAAACAACAAGAGTTCAACAAGAAAAAGAGCACACAACCTCTACTACTCATTGCCAGGATTTTGCTTGTGTGAGATCAGCTGTTCGTAGAGATGACAGCTGAACAAACGAACCAATTAAGAAGTTTTGCCACAATGCCTTTATTGGAAGAAGGCATGCCTTGCTTTAAGTTGGGGGAAATTTTACATTACAGTTGTCCTTGCGCTCGCCAGCCCCTCCATGCTTGTGCTTAGAGTTGTCCTTCAATTGGAGACCTCTTCGACATCTTCATGGTGCATATAAGAGCAGCCTGAAATAAAGAGCAGAAGAGGATTCGAAATCAATACACAATCACAACAAGCTGTATATGACATACATGGTTAACATCAGCAAGCAACGTGTTTACTACCTAGCCCAGCTCCCCACCTTTCTACTGCACATGATATATAAAACAAACCTCCCATAAATTGAACCAAAGTAAAAACTTGCATTGATTTGAATACCCAACACAACAGGTGCTTGAGAAATAAAACTAGCAAATTAAAATTTGCATAACCATTCAGTGATATTAAGCACAATCAAGTGAGCCATAGCTCCTATAGAATATACAGTAGGCTCGCGATAATTCAAACTCGGAGATTTAATACCTCTGGTTAAGTCAAACAAATTTCAAAACTTGGGCTGTCCCGCTACGTTTTCAATGTATTCATAAGCCGCTTAATTTGAACAACGTTTTCGTGTAATTCATACTTTTTGTTCTCGCGGCCCCGTTGAGTGCACTTCTTTCCGAGCACCGGTGCACTGCGGAGAAGCAGCACCTGTGAAGCTTGCTTTCACAGGCTTTGTTTTCCCGCGGTGCACTGGTGCTCAGTAAAAAGCACACTCTACAGGGCTAAAGCAGAGCAGAGCCGTACATATAGATCTTGGTATATGAAAGGAGCAAGCAGAGCCAAGGCCTGCATCAGACGCAGATAGAGGGTTCGACAATCTCTCTTGGCCAACCAGAAGCTGAAAATAATCCCCTAGCTACGGTAGCGAGAAACGGTTTTGATAAGTGCCTAAGAGTTAATTGTAGTAACTCTCCATGGTTGAAAAAATGGTGCACGCACTGTTTCGATTATGGTTATGCAAGTAGATATAGGTAGGTAGGTAGGTAGGAACGTTTATTTCACTTTTTTGCATTAAGAAATGCTGCGGTGAAAGGGATGTAGGAAACTAATGTTCCGCTTGATTTCTGTCTTGCTCAAATGGAGTCTGACCGCTTCGACGCCTGGTGTACGGATTACGTCAATCGTTCAGCTGGTTGCACACGTTTTTTTATATTTTCTATATCTTCCACCGTGATTTTGCATGACCACGAACAAAACTTCACTGCACACCAGTCACCGAGAGTTACTCCGACGAGCTCATTAATTTTGTTTCTCACAACCACTGCCAGGATATTATGCGCGGCTGCTGGTTGGCCACATACGAATTTGTGAAAGTGCTCTGGAACACGCCCAGCCCACCTTAAGTGAAAGGCGCCTCCTCATTTGCCTTCTATACATCCAAATGAATGGTTAAACTATCTCTATATACGTCTCTGAAGCAGAGGACACATGAGCGGCAAAAACGGGCGCCGCGCGGCAGTTTCCATATCAATTTGCAAGGATGCTGTGATGTGGCGGCATGGCTTTATATCGCAGTGTTCACGCAAGTTGCTATAGAAACTTCAGCACAATGCCCGTTTCCATTACTCATGGGTCCCTGCTTAACAGTCCCTAATGGACAACTTTTTTTTCTGGTTGAACAAACTTAATCTTGTTTTGAGGTGTCATGTGCTGTCTAAACAGTCCCTGATAAACAACATTTTTGAGGGTCGAATAAACTTGTGTCATAAATTTTACCAATGTTTCATGAATGGCATACCAGCTTATGATTAATGGGCCTGTGCAGAGGAAATCATGAAATATCTGTTTTGTGTGTGTAGCCATCCATATAGCAAATCATAATTTATCTTGCAACATATTTAGATGAACTTCTGATAATTTGAGCTTTTGATAATTCATGCAAAATTCGTGGCTTCCTGGAATTTCAATTAATTAGTCTACTGTATGTCACATTCAAATTAATGGTCTAGCTTCTTGGGCTTAATTGTATCTGAACCTTTTCCTTTGGCAGTGAATTAAATGTAAAATAGTACAGCAATGTATAGGCTCTAGTTTGTGCACTGGCACAGGCTTGTGCAAATAAGTCAAACTAGCATTAAAGGGAGCTTGAAGCACTTTCTAAGAAATCTGAGTTAGAAGCAGACTTACATAGCATTTTGGCTCGTTAATTCAGTAATTGCACTAAACTTGGGCAAAAGTCAACGTAAACTGCATTTATTTTGAATATGTGCAGCAATTATAGCAGGGCGTGCACTGAGCCTTTCTTCCACATGTAACCTGTCCAAAGCTTCGTGACATCATCGTTGGCATCTCCAAGTCAGCCTATTGGCAAGCAAGGGTTGTCGGACCCTGCTAATGACGTCACTTTTGGTAGTCTTTATCTCCGTTCTTTCGCTCTGCTTTGCTCGGTTTGCCGCAATGAGCGGGGCAGCGCCGACATTTTAATTAACGACTACGACGCTGCTACTAGCAAGATTAACAGAAAACTTTGACTTGACTCGGGATCTCTTTGGCTGGGTGTTTGGTGGCTCATGGACTGGAAAGCGCAATTTGTCGATAAGCGTCCCAGCGTGTCCTTACTTGGCAACATGTGCCGCTTAGCATATCCAGTTCAATTCTAGCAGCCAAACATGGTATCCTGGCAACAGCAGTTAGACCAAGGCATAATTCAAAGGTAGTCTAGATTGTGTTTACCGTTTATAAATGTCCAGGCACGCCTGTCAATTAGCCCATCCAGAGGCTTTCGGAGATGGTCACGAGAGCCAGCAGGTTGTCTTGGGCAGCTCACTGTCAGCCACACTGTCCTTCTGTGCACAGTGCCACCTTCATGAGCTCCCACTGAAGAAAAGAAAATCGTAATGACTGCAATGAGAACCAATCAGAACATCCCAGCAGCAGATGCTACAGCATGGTGTCTGGAATGCACCTCTGCGTTCTAGCATTCTATACCACCCACTCATTAAAGGTGGTCTCTAAGCGACAGCATTAAATGACGATACAGTAGCCGGCATGTCCTGCTGTCGGATGAGACGACCCTGGCGGTTGGTTGTACAACTTCTGGCAAAAAATATGAGCTAAAGGCAAACGTCATTGCTCTCGCAACATCCAAAATCCTGGCTGCTAAAGCTTCTGTGGACTGTCAGGCTGAGGAATATTCTCTTCCCCGCACCAGAAACTACCTCAATAGCCATGATGTTCACAGCCTGTAAAAAAATCCCATGGAAAGTCCATTCAGGAGCAAATGGGTAGCTCTAGAGACAACCTGTCGCACTATGAAACAGTTCCACAAATCTGCCATAAGCAGCACTGCCATAAGCAGCAGCACTTCATTTAGAGTACAGAAGTTTGTGTTTTTCATACATTTCGAGATGAAATTGTATCTCTGGATTCTCCCAAGACTATAGTTTCCAAGCAGAGATTTACATTGGCAAGCTGGCTGAGTTCCTGAGTAGGAAGGTTTATGTGTCACACCACACGTGTCTTTTGCTGACATTCAGATAAAGGAACGCTGAATATCCCTGATCGATGGTGATTAGGGTGGAAATCTTCAGGCTTTTGCAATCGCCAACTTCCTCAACATTACCATTTTTCCAGTTCATAGACACCCTGCACGAGGTTGAGTTGGGTAGCAATGGTCATTAACAACTGCATGAGTGACCTGCACACATATGTGGTTACTACTGGGTGTATCAAGGAGTGGCCAGGCTCTTTAAATTGACCGGAAAATTCGGTTTCTTAACCTATCGCGCTATGACTTGTGCAGCGTTGCCCACAGATGGAGCACTTTTTTGTAAAATTTGCAAAGAGCAAACTTACCTGAGGAAAAAGTAAAGAAAGGAAAAGGCTTAGCTCCTATGGAAATGCGGCGAAGGCAAAGGTTTTCAAACAATACGGCACCATTTCGCACGGGAGACAAGAGATGGCACAAGCGGCCACAATGCCAACTGCGCTAACGAACGAGCATACGGCACTTAAAGCTGGCGTCTTTAGCAGAAAATCTTTTCAACTCAAAAGTAGAGTGCATTCCGCAGGCGGCGACAGTCGCAGAAACAAAAACAGGCGCGGTAACAACAAGGAACTGCAAAGCAGATGACATCGGTACTCCGAAAAAAAACAGTCAAAATATCCCAACAAACCACTTTTCTCATCGATTATGTGCCCATTCAAAATGTTTTATCAGTAAGGATAATAAAATATTGCATTGGCAACTGATATCAGAAAAGCTCGTGCCACTTTTGAGTCGAAAAGATTGTCTGCTAAAGACGCCAGCTTTCGGCGCCGTATGCTCGTACGTTGGCGCAGTTGGTGTCGTGACCCCTTGTGCCATCTTTTGTCTCTCTAGTGAAACGGCGCCATATTGTTTGAAGACCTTTGGCTTCGCCGCATTTCCATAGGAGCTAAGCCTTTTTCTTTCCTTACTTTTTCCTCAGGTAAGATCGCTCTTTGCAAATTTTACAAAAAAAAATGCACCATCCCTGAGCAACGCTGCACAAAGTCGTAGTGCGATAGGTTAAGAAACCGAATTTTGCAGTCGATTTAAAGATCCTGGCCGCTCCTTGATACACCCAATATACAACAGCCCAATTCATCCTACTGGTCAAAGTGTTGGCTTACGTCCAAAAACATGGAACGTTGGCAGGTACCTATAGTCGGTGACAGGTCAAGAATGAAGTGAAAGCTCCTCCCACCTCTTTCCCCTTTAGCAGAGCAAACGCTGGAAAGGAGGGCGCCTCCTCTCTAGGGTTCAGTCTGCTATAGTGGAAAAAGGTGGGAGCAGCTTCCACTTCCTTATTGACCTGTCACCGACTATAGAATGTGAGCAACCAATGTGGCTTTTATCTTATTCTGGGCTCGCTTTTGTTTTTTAATGTGTTTACCTGTGTGCCTGCATTTCTTGTTTTTTTTTTGGTACATATGCACGAGCGTATTTCTACCTTCACGACTGACTACATACCTCCCCTCTCCTCACCCCCCCCCCCCTGCAATAATGCCTTCGGGCAGTGCAGGGTAACCCGAAAGTAAAGAGATGTGAATGTGCCTGCCATGCTCGGCAATCCCAATTCAACTCCCTGAACTGCAATCCTCGTACAAAAGAGATGCACTCTAGCAACTGCGTGGTTGACATGCCAAAACCCAAACCGAGACCAAAAGAAGTCCAGAACTACGTGGTGCGCTAACACACGAGCCATTTGCACCTGCCTGCCTGCCCCCCCCCCCCCCCCCCTTAGCTTTCTTTTTATTGCCACAGAAAGTGGTGTACAAGAAAAGATTGGTTGCTCTTTTGTTCTAACTCAGAAGAGTAAATTGAAGGCTTTAGGAACAGCCAATGCTAATCAAACACTTTTCAGAATGCTTCTTTGTAAAAAAAAAAAAAAGGTCACGCTTTGTTTTTTTGTGTTTGCATAATTAACAAGCTCCGCAAATGCAGCTATTCGTAATTCCGTGCACAGACCAAGCAAGGGACCATGGACACTTACCAACTATCGTACCTACCAAGTGCTCAACCCCCAACTCTCTATGATTATCTCCAATTTAGAGTGGGCGTTTGTTCGGTATTTTACAGTTTGTAATGTTGTTTGTTTTGAAAATCAAAATGTGAGATAAATCCAGCACGGCGCTGTGGAAACAGTGCAAGGGCCCTGTTTCACCTTTTTACTAAGCATCCTGTCTCCAATGGCAGTAGAGGAACGGGAGGAGAGCTGATGCGCCTGCAGGCCCTTGCAGTGTTGATAGCTGCCATCCGGACTGGCAGCTCATCGGCAGCTTCTAGTCACCTGCAGTTTTTTCGTCATCATACAGACTTGCTGCAACATCATGAATAAGACTCAGACTGACATTCTGGAACAAAAAAGAAACCAGAACTTGCTTCACGGATCAACAAAAGAACAAGTGCAACATGACACTTCTCTTGTCGTCGACAGTGCAAAGACCATGACGACACCACCATTAAACTCAACCAAATAAGAAAAATTAACTTCTGCATGAAGTAATTGTATTAAGAACAGTGTGCATGTGGAGCTTAGACACCTACCGGTGCCTTAAAAGATCCCGGGAACTTCAAAACACCACCTAGAAATAGCACAGCTCGCTTGATAGGCACATGCACAGCAATCAACAAGCCTTTTGACGTGTTCTGTAGTGCTGGGATAGAAATCAAGAATCAACACCGGAGATGTGGTCAAAATACTTTGGGGTAGTACAATGCACAAGTTTATCCTGAAGCTACTGTTGATTATAATCACCTAAGGTGTTAAAGCTGGTTCACACTGTTGCAACCGACTATGACCAAGTTAAACAAAACAGGGTGTTAAGTTGCTTACGAATAACATTGCTGCTGCGCAGCACGATCATAAGCAGTCACAAGAGGCTTGAAGACTGGTTTTATCACTCAGTCCTAGCGGGTAGCAACAGTGTGGACCAGCCTTTTAGACTAAAATTGTGCCCAGCACTGGGTTTTGGACATGGTTCCAAAAATGCTTTAAGAGACTCTCTTCAACTTTAACAGAAGCTCAAGTATTTAAAAGTTGAAGTAGGAAGCCTTCACATTCAAAGCTGGATCTCCTTGATTTGAATGTGTCTCCACTGTACAAGCAAGAGCGCCTGGCAGGTATGGGAGTTGGCTTGTGGCTGTCCCTATTCGCACACCGAGTGTGGATAGTGGTGGATTCTAATCCGCACTCCGAGTGTGAATAATTTTGGATTCTTATCCGCACTCCGAGTGTGAATAATTTTGGATTCTTATCCGCACTGCGGATTGTGTTGGATTCTTATCCGCACACAAAGTGTGTGAGTAGACTCTAGTGTGAGTGCGGATTGCTTGCGGAGGCGCGGACGCTGTACGGGGGTACTAGGAGATTAGGGTACGAAGGCGTTGTCACGAAGCCGTTGAGTGTGTTGGATTTTATTTATCTGCACTTCGCGTGTGGTGCGATTTTGTCGCGCTGTGAACAGAGTGGTTTAGAAGTTCTCAACTTTGTGTTGTGAATAACACTGGCTTTGAGCCTCGACGAGTTTATAAAAATATTGGTGGTTCTGGTTTCAGAATTATAATAATTTCAAGCAAATGTTTTTGCTTCTATTAAAACAAAATTAATTAGCATTGGGTGGTGCACTTCAGATTAAACGGTACTCACGCCACGGGGATCGGACACAGGCGATCAATGTATGTGTATGTGTTTGTTGCAGGGGGAGGGAGGGGTTAGGGGAAAGGGGTGGGTATCTTGTACCCACTCCAAAACTTAGAGAATCCCAAACACATCACCCCACCCCCCCCCCCAAAAAAAAAACGAAAGAAAAGAAAAAAAGTTCTGGCGATAATTTTTTTTGTAGGGTTAAATATTTTTATCGACGAAAGAAATAAAAGAAACTAGAGCAGCGTGCAATTTCTGACGTGTATTGTCTTGTGCTTAGGTGATGGGGGCAGTGGCATAGGAAAAGGGGGGGGGGGGCCACAGGAAAATCAGTCATTTCCAGTAAACAATATTATTAAAAAAAAGAACCCCCCTTTCCTATGCCACTGCCCCCATGACCTCAGCAAGACTATACACGTCTTCTGAACATTTTCAACACTACTAGATGAGGGAATGCTTGAAAAGTCCCTGGCATGGGCGTACCAACCAGGGGGGCAAGGAATGTGTTTTGCAGCCTCCCCCCCCCCCCCTCCCCTTAAACAGCCGCCACTGGGCAATGCAAACACTGGCCGGCGGCGCCGAAGGGATACCAAGGGCACCGCACCCCCCCCCCCCCCCCCCCCCCCCGAGCTGTTTGGGTGCGGCAGCAGCGGAAGTTTTGAACATCTGTGTGTGTGTGCGTGGGGGGGGGGGGGGCGGAAGCAATTGCATCTTGAAAATTGTTTGCCTGCCGCCCCCCTCCCCCTTCCTACATTACTGCCCCCACCAGCTAAGCACCACAGAATGTTAATGTGCTGACCATGGCAAAGCTTCTGTCTTCGGAGTGTGAAAAGGGACAGCCGTGCGAGTTTTCATTGCGAGCTGTCCACTATACAAGCGAGAGCACCTGCCAGGTGTGTGATTTCTACACTGCAACTTTCTTGAGCATTTTAATCAAATCGTATAACCTATATCTTGTAAACACTGATATGGAGAACGCTAAAAGAACGAACAAACATCTCAGGGTTTACAAGATGTCGATTAATTACCAGCTCGCCTGCACTCTATCACTTCTTACATATAACCTCTTTCCTCAGCCATGTAAAGTATGTGTGCACCCCTGGGTTCTAGAAGTCACGAATATGACTGGGGTAAACTAAAACGCCATTAAGGCAAACAATAATAATCTTCATTAGCTACAGTAGTAGTACTCTGGGTGGCTCGCAAGGCTAGACCCATATGCAGGGCCCGTAAGGGAGAAAACAAGGGAAGTGACGAGCTTAACAGGGTCCTGTCAACACTTTTAAGCAACTCTGGGCCCGCGCGCCTGAACACCGACGACACGCAGAGCAGGCCGGCGCGGGGCACACGCCGTAAGCGAGCGCTACGACGACGCCCGGCTTGGAGCGTGTTCTAACAACCCGCTGAAACCCGCTAAACGCCAGCACCCCAACCGCGCCATCCCGCTGGACGCAGCTCAAAAAGCCAGCGCGCGCTGACCGAGATACGTTGTCGCAAGCGTGAGAAAGGACAAGACGACACGTCAAAGTAAAAACCATACAATTCTTCACGCGTGTCGCCGTCCTGAACACATTCAATGCGTTCGTTCTAAGATCCGTATCCAAGCGTTTGACAGCACAGCTCAGTTTAGCGCGCCTGGCACTTACAGCGTGTCCGAAGATAGCAACGCGAACTTTCGAAACAATCTGATCAGCGTCTCTGCAGTGCTCCGGTATCGCAGAAGATCCACGGGATTCTCAAGATAGCGGCTAGCATTTACGCAAGGCTTGAACGAACAGCCTCCACAAGCGATAGCGATCGTTTCCCGAAGGCAGCCAGCATCCCGTAGAAAGAACTGCGACTCGACACGAAATCGCACAGACCGCTCAAGCGTCGAAAAAGTTAAATATCATCCGAATTACGGTGGCAACGTAAGCTACGGTGCTCGGAAGATCATCCAGCACATGTAGATGATACTCTTCGGGCATGCATTATGAATATGAAATCGAGAAAACTTACCTAAACAATCATTTGACCCACGCACGTTGAAGGTTCAAACAGGCCTTTGTCTGCACGGACGGAACGGAATAGAATCCCGACTTCAGAAGCTGCTTGTGGCTTTGGATTAGACTTTGGATTGGCTGTGGCTTTGGATCGGACAAGTATACGACTGCGGCATATAGTTTCGGTTTCGACCCAACTCTACTGCAGCTTATATTTCGGTGGCCGGTGTCGCTACCATGGCCAGCCATTACTGGAGTTATCTTGTTCTCTACGCAGTTTGAAGTCAATTTTTTGGGCGAGCAGACATAATGTCCCAGCTTCTTCTCCTGTTATACGTTCCATGATAACCTTTGTTTGCTGACTGAAATCTACGTCAACTTATGTGCAAAAAAGAAAAAAAAGGAACAGGGTGTTCGACATCTTAATTTAACTTGATTTTTTTTTTATATGTGAGGATATGCAATATCTTAATTAATTATTGAATATTTGTTTTGAGTTTTTATGCTTTGCTTAAAAATTATTTGTATTTCTATTTTTTTTTTTTTTTGTCTGAAGTTTTGGTCGAGTTGCGGGGCTCAGTAGCAGCGGGTTATTTGAGATTTTCATACACCAGTGACGTAGGTAGAGGGGAGGCGGGGGGAGCTGTCAGGGGGGAGCCCTCTTCCTCCTGCCTCTTTTTCATCCTTGTCCCTCCTCCTCCTCCCTCCTCCCCCTTCTCCTCCTCCTCCCTGTCGCTTGGTGCATTGTGGGAGACGTCGCATAATGCAACACGCGCGGCACCGCGGTGCATTATGGCACGTTTCCCATACTGCACCGCGCGGTTACGCCGACGGCGACGCGTCACGCCGACGCGTTACGGCTACCGTTACGGTCGCCGTCGGCGTAACGCTTTTTTGTTATGCGACGCAAAGGCGTGACGAAAAAGCGTTACGCGACGCTGACGTGTCACGAAAAGCGCTACGCCGACGCATCACAAAAAAGCGTTATGCCGACGCGTTACACGACGCCGAGGTGTCACAAACAAGCGTTACGCCGACGCGTCACGAAAGAGCGTTATGCGGACGCCTTACGCGACGCCAAGGTGTTACGAAAAAGCGTTACGTGACGCCGAGGCCGAGGCGTCCCAAAAAAACGTTATGACGATGCGTTCCACGACGCCTCGGCGCCAGTGTAACGCTTTTTTGTGACGCCTCGGCGTCGCGTAACGCGTAGGCGTAACGCTTTTTCGTGACGCCTCGGCGTCGCGTAACGCGTATGCGTAACGCTTTTTCGTGACGCCTCGGCGTCGCGTAACGCGTAGGCGTAACGCTTTTTCGTGACGCCTCGGCGTCGCGTAACGTTTCCACGTAACGCTTTTTCGTGACGCGTCGGCGTCGCGTAACACTTTTTCGTGAGGCATCGCGTAACGTGTCGGCGTCGCCTAACACTTTGTCGTGACGCGTCGCGTAACGCGTCGGCATCGCGTAACACTTTTTCGTGACGCGTCGCGCAACACGTCGGCGTAACGCTTTTTTGTGGCGCGTCACGAAAATGTGTTACGCCGAAACTTTACTGTTACGCCGACGGCAACGCCGCTCAAGCCAGAAACGGACGCCTAAGAGCAGCGCTCGAAGATGAGAGAAACATCAATCAATTCAAATTGTAAAGTCTGGTGGTTAAGGTTTATAGGCAAAACTGCTTATGTGTCTAAATATTCCTAGAACATATGGAAGAATCCCGGCGATGTTGCCGCGACTTGGCTGGTGCAGTGCCGTCATTCGGTTTTTGCAAAACAGAGCCCGATATAGAACTTCATATATTTTCAGCAATATATTTTGAAAGCTGGCAGAAACGGCAAATGTTGCCGTCATGTGGCCGTCATGTAGCCGGGATGCAGCAATATCTTTTGGAAGCTGGCAGAAACGGCCAATGTTGCCGTCATGTAGCCAGGATGCAGCAATATCTTTTGGAAGCTGGCAGAAACGGCCAATGTTCCCGTCATGTAGCTGACATGTAGCCGGGATGCAGCAATATCTTTTGTAAGCTGGCAGAAACGGCCAATGTTGCCGTCATGTAGCCGGGATGCCGCAATATTGGTTGGACGCTGGCTGAAACGGCCAATGTTGCCGTCATGTAGCCAGTTTAGTGCCGGCATCATGAATGCTGGCTCTAGACTGGTCAAGCTGGGCCCATATGGGGCCACCTTAACCATGCTGAGACCAATGTCGGCACAATATCTTGTGCTGCCTGGGCACTGTTCACATTGCCCTGTAGTCACTACATGTAAAATATCCCACGTTAGAAGGTGTCCGGCTCGAGTTAACTTGCACAAGCAGAGCCTTACTTACCTTCAACTACATCTCTTTGTGAAGTCGCATAGTCCACAATGGCTTTTAGTCTCGTATTTTCCTCCTGGAAGTGATCGATGTCACTCTTGAGGGATTTCTTCTCTTGCTCTAGTGCAGCACAGTTCTCACAATACTCCACCTGAAAAAATAAAAAAAATAATCTTCACATAAGGTGTCTCACGCGCGGCTTAGAAGTGGCGCATTGTGGGAGCAGCGCCATCTGTGTGTATGCGATAGCCCACACTGCCCAGCAGTTCATCCGGTGAGACCCCGCACAAGGAAGGGACGCTCTACGCAGCTGCGGTGTTACGGTGCAGTGTATAGCTGCGGCACCATAACAGTGTTGTTTTCGGTAAGTGGTTCTTTACTGTTGGGCTCCTATGGCGGACAGTGAGCGGGAATACGTGCGCTACGAGGAAAAGGTTGAAATCTGTGGTGTGGATTCGTTCGGTCTACCCCTAAAAGATCTCATCCTAGACAGCAAGCTGCAGCCATGAGTGAAAATGACAGACATCCAGGTTTACGCCACCCCAAGGACAAATTTTGTCACTCGCAAGCAAGCCCTTTAAACGCCCGTAACCACAAGCAGATGGGTCCAGGAGTCAATGAAAGCAGTGAATGCAGGGAGCGCGATTGTAGTCTCGCAGGTGAGGCGGGCTTATGATGCCCCCACGACTCTGGAATATGTGCACACCTTTGCTTGACTTACTTTTAGAAGGTTAATCGTTCCCTTTATGGGGCACTAAAGTGCATTTGGAGATCCTCTTTTTATGGTAATAACTCGATCTATGAGCTCTAAGCAGCTCAAGAAACTCGAAATTACATGCATGCGCGGTCAATTTGCGTATTAAAAAAGCGGTAAAAGAATGACAGAAGGCGCTACCGAACCTTGCTAAATATGGTCGAACGACAAACGGCGCTCGTCGGTCACTTGCAAGTGATGGGTTCCCGCGTGGACAAGCGGGACTGGTCGGCCACTCGTCCACGCGGGAACTCATCGCTTGCAAGTGGCTGACGAGCGCCGGTCGACTATGCACAAGAAGGTTCAGTAGCGCCATCTGTCATTCTGCAGCAACGGTAAGTGTTGCAAAATTTTTATTGCACTTTAATATGCAAATTGGCCACGCATGAATGTAATTTCGGGTCTTTTAGGATGCTCAGAGCTCGAAGATTGAGTTATGACCTTAAAACGAGGATCTCAAAACACTCTTTAGTGCCTGTCTAAGAACCGTGCAGCACTGAGTAGCATGATAGACTCAACTCCTCGTGGAATACGTCATGCAGCTGTTTTTATCACCGCCAACCAAAGAGCTTGAAGATTGCTATGACTCAAAAGAAAACATGCTCATGAATGGGATCATCAATTTCCATGCTGGTTTGCCACTGCTCCTCCGGTAAAAAGCTTGCATACAGGTATCTTGGTAATCCTTAATCGCGACTGAACTTGACTAGCAAGACAGGCCTATAGCCCGCTGTTGAAACATGTGAAATAAAATTAATGCCTGCCAAAAGCAAACGGCGCCGATGCAGGCCCGAAAAAAAGCACACTATGTAGTTGGACATATCAGAGAACGATTCACATTCTAGAAGTAAATCATCATAAGTCAACCTCCCCTCCGAGACGACGATTGAGCTCTCCGCACTCACTGCTTTCACTGACAACTCCTGAACCCATCCACTAGAGGTTACGACCGTTTAAAAGAATTGCAGGCACGGGACAAAACCTGTCCTTACAATGAGGTAAATTTGGGTGTCAGTCATTTTCACCTGCGGCCGCAGCTTGCTGTCTTAGACGAGATATTTCGGCGGTTTACCAGACGAATTGATGCTGCAGATCCATCTACTCGTAGCGTCTGCATTCCAGTCTGCTGTCCACCATAAGGGCCCAGCGGTGAAGGACTTCTTGCCGAAAACAACATTGTCATGTTGCCGCAACTATACAACTATTCGCAACTCCAACACCTTTTAGGCGGCGGGGCGGTAATTCCAAGATGGCGGAAGAGACGGGGATAGATTTTCGAGGATATCCCGTGCGCCTGATCGCCGACGCTGTTCAGCGCGCTAAAATTTACTTATTTGTCAACAAATGCAAAGAGGTTAGGGAAGCGGTTAGGGTGACGGAGATGCCAATGCACGTTAGGAAAAGGAGCATGCTCTTATTAAGAAGTTGCAGAAACTTCAAATTGCGAAGCTTTTAGATGAGCAAGCGCGTTTTAGCAGCGGCCACGTTACTGTTTGTGGCAGAATATTTTTGAGGGTGATGAAGATATGTTTGCGCTTTGCCTGGCCATTTGTGCTCTAAAAAGAGAGCCGTGCACGGTGACCGTCAAGCTTCGGAAGAGCAGCGTTCATAGTATTGGTGCCTTCGCATCACAGCCTCACAACTCGCTGCTCACCGTCCCAGTTTTTGTGTATTGCAACACGTAACCAAACTGCTCTATTGTTATTGATAGAAAGTTTGTTACATGCAGTGTAGCATTACAACCGCAAGCTCGCGGTGCGTCGTTAAAGCACAATTTTCAGTGCGCGCCAAAAGCGTTGCCGTGCTCATCACTCTAAAAAAAATGTTGTAGTCCGTACACTTCTTGTTATATATACCACACTCCAAAACTTCAGTTCGCCGTGCAGCCCTCCGACATCAAGCTGGCGGCCCCAACTTTTACGAGAGGCTTGATGGCGGCGCAATATGACATAATAAACAGCTAAATTATGCATCAAAGAGTACCGAAAAAAACAAAAAAACACCGAG